ACTTTGCTCTGATGAAGGCGAATTAGCCAAAAACGCGTTAAGCATTTTCTATTTTTATATGTGGTTATTCTGCATATATATATATATATATATATATATATATATATATATATATATATATATATATATATATATACACGTCAATCATATTAGCGTTTGCCTTTCCACTGCAGACTTTCGGCGCCGTGGATAGGGGAGGGGAGACCTGCTGCATGGGTGACAGGTTCTCCTCCATATCAACCTACCCAGGCTTTGCGCCCTGGAGAGGCCACTCCAGACCGACAACCAGAGCACACCTCCACAGTCTCCTGAGACTGATGGATGCCTACTACTATATATACGTCAGTACATACATATATACTATATATATATATATATATATATATATATATATATATATATATATATATATATATATATATATATATATATATGTCGTACCTAATAGCCAGAACGCACTTCTCAGCCTACTATTCAAGGCCCGATTTGCCTAATAAGCCAAGTTTTCATGAATTAATGTTTTTTCGTCTACCTAACCTACCTAACCTAACCTAACCTAGCTTTTTTTGGTTACCTAACCTAACCTTACCTATAAATATAGGTTAGGTTAGGTTAGGTAGGGTGGTTAGGTTCGGTCATATATCTACGTTAATTTTAACTCCAATAAAAAAAATTGACCTTATACATAGAGAAAAGGGTTGCTTTATCATTTCATAAGAAAAAAATTATAGTAATATATTAATTCAGAAAAACTTGGCTTATTAGGCAAATCGGGCCTTGAATAGTAGGCTGAGAAGTGAGTTCTGGCTACTAGGTACGACATATATATATATATATATATATATATATATATATATATATATATATATATATATATATGTGTGTGTGTGTGTGTGTGTATGTAGGTAAGTTTAATATCTTGCCTAAATTTATCAACTAGTGTAAATTGACATGCAAATGCCAGTCATTTCCTCAAAGCAGTACACTAACAAGGAGTCCTGACACTTTTCTTCCACCCCCCCCCCCTCCCTTCCCCATGTACTCACTCAATCCCCCCTTCCCCTCCCCTCCCCCCCCTTCCCTTCCCTCCCCCCCTTCCCCCACCACCCATTACCAGCCCATTATATACTAATAGCGAAGTGGATGTGCGGGCCGGGTATGTGGGACCCTGGTCCTGTATAATGCTATATAGCCTACAGGCACATACCTTGCTAATGACAACTTACGATAACCAGCCACAACAAGATAACAAGACCCTTGACAATTGTACTCCTTGAGGCTCGAACCTGACGGGCGTTCGATAACACTTTGTATACAGATTGTGCTATCTTGTAGGCTATCAGGGGCTCTGGAGAACCTTCCCCGAGATATTGTGTGTTTCAGGTGAGAGAGGCGATAACGAGGGCATCTCCGATCACTCGACTGTCACGCCTGAGGTGGTCGACGGGGCAATTAGGCGGCCCCCGGCGGGGGCAAGCAGATGGTCACACGATGAACAGGGTGGATGGCTAGATGAGTAAGTGGATGAATAGATAAGTGGATGAACATATGAGTGGGTGGATTTGGTGGGAAAGGGTGGGGGAGATTGGGTAGGTGTGGGGGTCGATGGATTAGTGGGTGTACAGGTTTGGATGGATGATTGGGTGAATGGGTAAAACAACTGAGGGATGGGAAGGTGGATTGGTTGGGGTGGATTGAGAAATTGAGAGTGGGAAAGATTGCCTGTGGATTACCTTTGGCTAGTTGCGGGAGTTCTACTCCCTCGACCCTGTGGGGGTGCAAAGCATATACCAGTGATAACTCCATCAATAAGGCGGCCCAACCACTTGGGCTGGACGGTAACACGACGGCCTCGCTTCTTGCAGATCGCCGTTCAATCCCCCGACCATCCATGTGGTTGGGCACCATCCCCATCCTCCACCCCCATCTATAAATTCCTTATCCTTCCCAAGTGCTGTATAGTCGACATAGCTTAATGCTTTCTTCTGATAAATACCGTATACCTTGATCAATAAGGCTGTTGCTTCAAGATCAACAAGCCACAATGTGGGACAGACAACAGGATATCCTTTTCCTCAGACGTAGGAAAAGGATAGACGGTCCTTCCCATTCTCCTCCCCCCCCCTTTTCTCAGAATCAGAATTATTAAGAAGGATTTAAACAACTTTGTGGGTCTCTTATCCCCCGCCCCCTTCGTCCTCCCCCACTTCCCTCCCCCTACACCACCTTGACTCCTACTTTTGTCTACCTCTCTCTCTCTTCTCCCTTCTTCCCCTTCTCTCAGAAAATATACTAATTTTTTTTTTTTTTTTTTTTTTTTTTTTATTAAGTTATGAGTACATCTGCATTAGTGCAGCTACCCTAGACTATATGAGTGGAGTACAGTGTGTCAGAAAGCTAACTAGGTGATGCTATAAAATCCCCATCACACAGGATGGTTAGTCATACAGAGACATGTGATAGGCGGTCTGCACTGGCAGACTCCGGATGCATTTTGAGGATATCAACAACACAAGATTGAATAAGGTAGCAGTGGTAATACAAGTCCCCATCTCGCAGGATGGTTAGTCATACAGGGCCATGTGTTTAATAGCCTGCACTGGCAAATTTTGGGTATACTGTGAGGATATCTTCAAGAATATGCCATGTAAACTAACACTCTACGGACATCACATTCCCGATTTCATCCCGGATTAATTTCAGATTTCATGAAAATCTCTCGGTGTTGTTGGGAGGGAGGGGAATTATCAGGAGAAAGCGCCAAGCCATTACGACTACATTGGGTTACACGCTATACTTCATAAATCATTTAACCTAGTCCTACCCTGACCAGCCTATGTTCGTCCAGTACCCCACACCACTCCCCCCTACAAATTTCGGTGCGGCTATCCCCAAGGGTCTGGCTTCCAACTTTGAGCAGAAACATTCTCACTTTTAGTATAGAGGTTCTGGATAATTTATATTAACACGAGTTTATTTGTAATACCACTGTATTACTGTGGTATAGCATTGTTTTAAGTGCTATATAGCCGCAATGGCTTAGCGCTTTCTCCTGATAATTACCTTATCTTACCATTGTTATGTCAATAATTATTATCAGTCCGATCGAAAATAAAAGGTATCTTATAGGGAGGCTTATAACATGCAACTAATTTATGATAATATATATTTTACAATATGTTTCATCATACAGTTATTTTAATTAACTTTCAAGTAGTTTCATAAGGGAAAAACAGATGATTTGCTGCATGTAAATACAATATATATTCGATTGGTGACGGACCTAAGATATTCACCTAATCAAAAGGCAAATTCGGTAATGATCGATAATTATTTCAGCAATTCGATTTATTTTAAGTTCCCTCAATAATTGACGCAATAAGTAAACAATAATTACAAATTACCGATATAACACATAGAACCAGTACATGTGTGTGTGTGTATACCTTTTGATCCTTTCATCTTTGACGCAATGTTGACGTCAGTGCGAGCCTGATGCACAATCGGTTCAGAAATATGAGAAATAATAATCTTATCGTCTTGATTCTAATTTAAAATAAAAAAAAGAGACTTTCAATTATGCTGGCGATGAGTCATAATAACGTGGACAATCGACTTGAGAATGGTCCAGGACGGACCGAAACGTCGTCGTCCCTTCACCTTCTAGTGTGTGGTCTGGTCAACATACTTTCAATTAACCGCGGAAAGGGTTATTAAGGCCACTACAGGAGACTACTGACCAACTACTAGTAGAACCTGGCCTCAGGGAGACGAAGAACTCCCGAAGAACTGAAGAGCATTCCTCCAGGTACACTTTAGCCCAGAACATAGTCTGGAACTAATTATAAACTCTCGAATGTACAAATGTAAACTGTATGTCCCTTTTGGAATAAATCATGAGTTGCTTAGCGACTTGATATTAGCCGACAGCTCTTCTGATGACTAATTGATAAACTGAGTGATGACTTTTTGATTGACTGATGACTAGTAAGCTAACCTCAGTTTCGCGTACGACTTAGAATGTACACATCGATTAAGGTACCCCATTTCCGTCCACAGCACACTCATATTCGATCCTTGGCAATCGTATTCTATCATCAGCAACCCCATTCCATCCTTAGCAACCTTATTTAGTCCTCAGCAAATCTATTCAGTCCTTGACACCCTGTATTCCGTCATCAGGCGGAGGACGAGGTCGGTTGACATATACGTTCATTGGAATGTGTGCAACAATACAGTTAACTGTTTGCATCAATAAGGAAAATGTGAAAATATGGAAGGGGAGAATAGTAGGGAGGAGAGTGTGAGAGCAAGAGGGAAGGAGAACGAGTAGAATGTGTGGGATAATAGAGAGTAGGAAGGCTAATGTGTGGGCATTATAGTAAACAATTGGATGGAAGAAAATAAGGAAAGAATGAAGACAGATGGGCTGAGGGAGGGAGGGAGAGAGAAAGAGAGAGAGAGAGAGAGAGAGAGAGAGAGAGAGAGAGAGAGAGAGAGAGAGAGAGAGAGAGAGAGAGAGAGAGAGAGAGAGAGAAGGGGGGGGGGAGGTGGTGGCTGATGGAGAAAAGGGAAAGAGTGGAGAGGGAGGGAGAGTAGGTAAAGAATAGAGGTGTCCGAGCGCAAGAGTTAACATCCTAGCCAGCACTACCTTACAGCACACTCCCCTGGCCGTTGCTTCGCTAGCCTCGCGCCCCCAAGTCTCTATAAATCCCACCTCTCACACACCACTACTAACCCTTGGGGGGCATCCTAAATCTTTCCCGGAGACTGTACAAGATGCTCGGCATGTCTCCGAAGCCGAGGAGCGCCAACGAGGTTGAGACGCCAGACTCATGAACCTTGATTGAACGAGTTGTATTACAAGCGTGAGTGTGATATGAAGGCGATTCTGGCAAACGATGTGGGCAGGCAGTAGTACCTCTTCCCTCTCTCTGTGCGGCAGCAGCATCCTCCGTTCTCTGTGATGCCCCGCCTGCTGAACTCATGCTCTCACGCCCTCGTCTTGTGGGGGATCAATAGTACCGAATAAGCTCGAAATTTGAGGGAAACTCTTGCGGCAATGTCGCAACTTTCCACACCATTTGGTTGATCTCGTGTGCGCGGGTGGCCATGTTTACACAGAATTGGCGGGCGCGAGAAAGGTTGCGACCAATCACAATGGAGTGGGCGGAGCGGCGCGGCGTAAAACAATGCGGTGATTGGCCTGCCTATTGTGCCGCGTGACGTAATCAATAACCACAGCCCGCCAACACTGACTCGTTACAAATGGCGACTTTGTGAGTCAAGTCAGTGTGGCCAGAGAGCCCGAAAAGGTAACACCGTTGGCGTGCGGCTGTCGGAGGGCGGAGATGTTTATCACATGGCAGCGCCGCGCTGACAGCACTCCGTCTCCCACCGCCCTAGCGCGAGCGTAGCACTATCTTACTCTCCCACACTACCTGCCCAGCGCTTCCCCCCACAGGTGCATCGCGACTAATTGTGTGCCGCATATGAATTTACCGAACTGCGTCTTCTAACGTTCTTAAAGAATACCTCAGTGACTTTAACAAGCGAGAGATTTTTTTGTCCGAGAGATAATTCCCCTTACAAACGTCGTGGAACTTTGAAGATTTCATCGCTGCGACACATTGCCCGCTCGCTTCAGCCGCAGCTCCATCTGCGGCAGGTAGTGAGGCTGCGGGCGGCGACGACGACGGCGGCGGACGACAGGATGAGCGCCAAGGACTCGCACGTCAAGCGACCCATGAACGCCTTCATGGTGTGGTCTCGCGGTCAGCGCCGCAAGATGGCGCAAGACAATCCCAAGATGCACAACTCAGAGATCTCCAAAAGACTAGGTAAGCCTCCGGCCGCCCCCGCTGACCACCCTTCCATGCTTTCAAACATTTATATTAATTAGGGCAAATATATACATACAATTAGCCATATGTTTAATGTCAGTTTTGAGATTTGAAGTTAGTTTTCAGATGTTAATTTTAACTATACACAAAACTGCAATTGTAGTATATATATATATATATATATATATATATATATATATATATATATATATATATATATATATATATATATATATATATATATATATTTGAGTTCGATTCTGACCATCGTCAATTGAAGCAGAGTGCGGCGCAGTTATTTAAACATGCAAAATGTACTTGACTTTAAAAAAACTTTAACATTAAAGTTTCAACATAATATAATTTTTTTTTATCTACGAAAAGTTTTTTTACAATAGATTTAGATACAGCAGAAAGAGCAGACATACAGCTCGCGCAGTGAAAACATGTTTTTTTTTTAGTTCCTGCTTTTTTTTTCAAATCCTAAACTGAAATTAAAACTAAGATGCGAACTTGACGACCAAGAACCAACCGAACAACCCTAGAGAGTTGAATCCGCTGTTGAAGTTGTTTTAACCAGCACACAGTTAACGATCAGCTTCTATGAGTTTATTCAGTTTGTATTCAGCGTTTTGCCTGTGTAATTACCTAAGTGTAGTTACAGGATGAGAGCTACGCTCGTGGTGTCCCGTCTTCCCAGCACTCTTTGTCATATAACGCTTTGAAATATGTGTGTGTGTGTGTGTGTGTGTGTGTGTGTGTGTGTGTGTGTGTGTGTGTGTGTGTGTGTGTGTGTGTGTGTGTGTGTGTGTGTGTGTGTGTGTGTGTGTGTGTGTGTGTGTGTGTGTATTTACTATTTGTGTCTGCAGAATCGAGCTATTAGCTCTTGGACTCCGCCTTTCTAACTAATCTATTTTTCCTCTATTATGTCTACTACATATATTTCTCTTACACACACACACACACACATCCCCAGGAAGCAACCCGTAGCAGCTTTCTAACTACTAGGTACCTATTTACTGCTAGGTGAACATGAGTATCAGGGTGACAGAAACTCGGCCTATTTGTTTCCGCCTCGACCGGGAATAGAACTCGGGGCCATTAGACTACGATTTCCCCCCCCCCCCCCTAAGCGCTGTCCACTCAGCCATGTGTGTGTGTGTGTGTGTGTGTGTGTATTTACTATTTGTAAAGAGAGAGCGCGCACTCGCAAACGCACGCACACTTTTCAGGAAAAATCGACCAACTTGGCCTAGTTAGCAAGATTCTTCGCGTCCGTTTTTTTTTTTTTTTTTAGTGGTATATTCGAGGAAATATTAATGTGACGAGGTTGACATATCTGAATGATTACTTCACTTGCAGTTTTAAATCGGTCGAATTTGACTCCCGTTCGGTAGCAGTGTATAATAATTATCCTATTTATGTTACGGGAAGTTGCTAAGTTAGTTTTGGTTCAAAAATAGATAATATGCATATAATAAATCTTGAACTGATAGTTTCCATCAATACAAGAGAATTTTCTTTATATTTCACTTGGACCATCGGGAATCGAACGCCAACCCTATAAAAAGCGAGGCTGAAGCTCTACCGATCAGCCCAAGAGGGTGTGATATATATATATAAATATCGAACCTAATGGCCAGGACCATACTTTTTTGGCCTCAGTAAGCTAGATCAGTTTTACCAAACAGCCTGAACGATTCTGCATATTTTAAAATGCTTATTGGGAAACTAGTTCACCCCTAGTGAACTAGTTCACCTAGTTCAATAATATTAACATGGTATATTGACAAAAAATTCTAACCACATTATAGTCGTCATATATAAGTTAGGTAGTATTTCCACCTTCAATTTTAAGTTTTTATGCAGGCGATGAGTCACAATAACGTGGTTGAAGTATGTTGACCAAACCACACACTAGAAAATGAAGGGACGACTACGTTTCGGTCCGTCCTGGACCATTCTCAAGTCGATTGTCACAATCAACCATTCTCAAGCCACAATCGACTTGAGAATGGTCCATAACGGACCGAAACGTCGTCGTCCCTTCACCTTCTAGTGTGTGGTCTGGTCAACATACTTAAGTTTTTATGTTTGACTTAAATTTAAAATAAAATATCCCTGCCATGTGTATTATGATGAAAAACTTTTATCATTTCATAAGAATTGTTCTTATTAAAGACCAAACCACACACCAGAAGATGAGGAGACGACGACGTTACGGTCCGTCCTGGACCTTTATCAAGTCCATGTCTTATTCATTTTTGTTAAGAGGATCCCAGATATCGGAGGTGAGAACTTCTCTTGATTTTGAGTGGCTGTTCACTAAGGTGCTCGTCGAGGAGACAGTTAGAATGGTGACGGACAGAATTGATCGGAATCCAGTTTACACTATTCTCCACGCCCCAGAATGCTTATTTACGAAACGGCTCAAAGCATGTACGAAAGAAGCACATTTCCTAAGTCTTTATGGTCAAATCAGTTGATGGTGTCGTCATGAATTCTTCCCTTGGTGTTATATTTTCGATTTTTGTTTTTACATGGGGCAGTGTCGAGCAGAACGTCCTTGTTGATATGGTTCTAAGACCTGAGGTCTTCTGTAGGTATGTTGGTGACAGTCATATCGATACCTGACATTGAGGGCTTCAGTAAACACTTAAGGAAGCTTTCAAGTTAGGTGGTAAGTTTCTTTTACGAGATAGAGTGAAGGTCTTTCACACTTTAGTACACTAAAGTATTAGTCTAGTTAGTTCTATTGGAACTAACATCGATATGTGCTTTGAAGCTAGTAGTGACTGCCCTGATAGAGGCAAGAGGACTGTTGTCGACGCCTATATTAATTTAACGCTGCACACAGCTCAAGTTGGAAGAAGGTTGACGAGGAACTCAGAGTAAAGCAGGTCCTATGTAACAATGGTTACTCTAACAGATGTGTCAAAGATATTAAAAGAAAAGAGAACCTCCTTAAGAAGCGTTTCTCACGCTTTTATCATAATTACATGTACAATTATGTATTGAATTAGCTTCAACAACTTCTACGTCTCACCTGCTCCATTTATTGACAGCTCCAGCACTGAAACAGTTCTTCCTGACGTCTTTGCGACTCATTTGCTTCCCAGCTATAACACCCTCGTTCCGTTGTTCCTAGCTTTGAACAATGCTGCTTTCTCTACTTTGTCAAGTTCCATTAGGATCTTGTATGTTGTTATCACGTTCCTTCATTCTCTTCCTTCCTCCAGTGTGGTAAAGTCCAATTCTCCCAGTCTTTCCTCACAGTTGAATCCCCTTCAGACTCACTCATATTCAAGAGTGGGTCTCACCTTTTTTCAAACCCCTTCTAGGGTGTTTCTAAATCCGTTTGCAATGCATTACAATCTCGGCTATTCCTGACTCATCTCATTAGTTTGCACCATCTGCGAGCATTGATATGAAGGAGGTCATCTCCTCTGTCACGTCATTAACATATATATGAGATAGGATGGGGGTCTAGAATCGACCCTTGTGGCACTCCACTCGTAACCTCTCTCCACTCTTATGTCTCTCCTTTCACCGTAACCCTTTGCTTCCTTCCTGAGAGGTACTCTCTGACCCACCATATGACCTCTCGATACGCCGCCTACTTCTCTAGTTTAAGTAGGAGTGTGTGAGTGTGTGTGTGTGTGTGTGTGTGTGTGTGTGTGTGTGTGTGTGTGTGTGTGTGTGTGTGTGTGTGTGTGTGTGTGTGTGTGTGTGTGTGTGTATGTGTGTGTGTATGTGTGTGTGTGTGTGTGTGTGTTTTCACCTAGAGGTACTTACTTAGATGTGCTTGCAGGGGTCGAGCTAGGCTCCTAGTCCCGCCTTCTGGACGTTCTTTGATTAATGCAATGACTCCTTTCTCACTCTTGTATCATATTTACATTTTAAATTTTGAATTATCTTCAACGACAAAGCTCTTCAAAGAGAGAGAGAGAGAGAGAGAGAGAGAGAGAGAGAGAGAGAGAGAGAGAGAGAGAGAGAGAGAGAGAGAGAGAGAGAGAGAGAGAGAGAGAGAGAGAGAGAGGAGGAGGGGAGAGAGGGGGGAGAAGGGGGAAGGGAGAGAGAGAGGGGTCCCGATTGACAAGATTATCTCCATCTCTCGGACAAGAGGTGATTAGTCAACACAAAGGCGACATTAATCTTAACTACTCAACAAGCCAGGATCACAGGATTACCTTCTCACACATCAGAGTAACTCCTTAGTGTTTCTACCAGCACTGTATATACAGGGGGGGGGGGTAACACCTGACGGTAATTGTGTCGCAACACACGCACGTGCATCACCTGTCACAACACACTCACGTGCCTCATTTGTCGAAACACACGCACGTGCATCATGTATTGACAATACGTCAAGACACTCAGTGTGATGTAACATTACGTCAGGTCTCTCAGGACACGAAATAAATTCCCGTCACGAGGTTACGAACGTTGATATTATTTCCCCCCTGTACTAAGTTAGTTCAGGAGTCTCCCCCCCCCCAGACATAACAGGCGGGTCTCCCCCCAGACATAACAAGTGAGTCTTTCCCCCCCACCCCCGCCACCCCTAGACATAACAGGTGGTTATAATGCACTCCAACAAGGGGTCATGAGATGGGGAGAGGGGGACCGGACGATGGTCGTCTACGAGGGGAAACCCTGTCGACGCAATTAACGCAGGAGAAAATTATTGGCTGGTAACTAGGGCCAGAAGGTGGGTGGGGGGAGGGTTGGCGTATACCCTTCAAACCGGTACGAAACACGAGTCAGATGACGTAACAAGGGGTCATAAAACGACGTCTCAAGGGGTCATAACACGACGTCGCAAGGGGTCATAACACGACGTCGCAAGTGGATCATAAAACGACGTCGTAAGGGGTCATAACACGACGTCACAAGGGGTCATAACACGACGTCGCAAGTGGATCATAAAACGACGTCGCAAGGGGTCATAACTTGTCGCTGCATATATTATTTGTATCGTCGAATTTGATACTTAT